AGACTGTATACACGTTTCAATGAACGAATATGTAAATACAGCTTTCTATGGGTCATCCAATAAGGTTAGCAGACTTCTAGATGTTACCACTGCTAGGCTTAGGCTCGGCTACAAGTACCTCTGGGAGTTTGTAACATCTGATGATGTATATTTGACTAAGTGTAAACTGTCAGCAGAACTATTCCCATACTTTGCGTCATTATATAATGGAATGTGAAAAAAAATCGCGGAATTTAGAGATATCATCATCAGTAGTGTCCAAGAAATGTGTAAGTACTTCATTCATAATTACGTGCTGCCGGAAATCTTAGCGAAGTATTCAAAATTTGCTTACTGTAGGTAATGCATGCACATGACTGTAAAGCTGCCACCCAGTTGGGTGGGTGTGCAGCAAGACTAGTAACTGTGTGACTCACCATAGATGTAAAGTGCCTTGTATAGTGACTTGTGAGCCTCTTGCTGAATCACTTGTGACAAAAGATTATTGATGTGTGTATTTTTGTGGGTGATTAAATATGTATGTATATATGTATACGTATATGTACATATATGTATGAGTATGTGTACATGTATATAACACAAATTAAGAACATCGAAATAGGGAGTGAGCTAGGCAACAGTGATCATAAAGAAATCAGATTTAGCATAGAATAGAATAGATCTGTAAGAGAAAATTCTGTTATAGTGCCTGATTTTCGAAAAGCTGATTTCAATAGCCTAAGAAATTTTTTGTAAGAAATTTTTTGTAAGAAATTTTTTGGGTCAAATAGATTGGAAAGTCTTGGGTATGGGGTGTGGGCCGGTCTTGGAGCTAGACGTGAACCCAGCGATAGGTGACGTAAAAGGGTTTTCGATGTGGATTCAAAATATAACCTATTTAAAAATATTCTAAGCAAAGCCCAGGAAAGTAGTATACCATATAAATTGAATAAATCGAATACTAATGATCCAAAGTGGATAACAAAGTATCTGCAGAACCTTATAGGTAAAAAGGGAGCGTGGTACAAAAGGATTAAGAATGGGGAAGTCAGTTAGAACAGGAATTCGTACAACTGGTTAGAAATACTAAAAAAGAGATAAGAAAAAAGAAACTATGAAGTTCGCATAGCAGAGCAAGCAAAGACAAATCCTAAAGGGTTTTTTCCATTTATACCGGACAAAGATTAGGGAAAGGATAGGTCCATTAAAAACTGAGACAGGTCAAATAACAGATAATGACGAAGGGATGAGTAATATTTTTAATAAATATTTTATATCTGTATTTACTAAAGAGGAACTTAACAATATGCCTTCAGCCGAACAAGTCTATGTGGGTGGGGACGAGGACAGGTTGACTAGTTTAGCAGTTACCAGGGAGGGATGTAATTAAACAAATAGTTAAACTCAAGCCAAACAAATCCCTAGGGCCGGATGAAGTGTTTGCCAGGGTGCTTAAAGAATGCAAAGAGGAGTTTTGCGAGCCACTGTCTACCATATTTAATAAATCAATAGAGTTAGGCAGAGTGCTAGAGTCATGGAAGGTAGCTAATGTGGTACCAGTTTTTAAGAAAGGTGATAGATCACTTGCATCAAACTATTGGCCAATTAGCCTAACGTCTATTGTGGGAAAGTTACTTGAATCGATAATTGCAAATACAATTAGTCTTCATCTTGAAAAAACATAAATTAATAAATAAATCGCAACATGGTTTTACAAATGGCCGTTCATGTTTAATAAATTTGTTATCTTTTTATTCCAGCATAGTTGAGGCAGTTGATAGTGGTATGGATTGTGATGTGTACATCACAATCCCATCAGAAAATTGAGAACATCAAATGATCTGATGTTCCCATCACTTAAATAAGAAACAGTTAAAAAACGAAATGAAAAACAATGAAAAAATAAAAAAATAATCTATACTCACGAAATGAACAGCATGGTTAACAACACAGCTCAATTCCAACGCAATGTCACACAAAATAATTAAATCAAAATTAAAATAAATCGAAATCTATGAAAATTAAATTTATCAATGTAATCAGAACCAGTGAAATTGAATTTGTAACACATTTAGTATTGTGTGTGTTGCTATTACGTGCAATAGATGGCGCTGTCTAAAAAAAAAAAAAAACTGTCACAGGCGTGGCATCTATCTAGTAAGTATATAAAAACACGTGCATATTCGAATGGAATGTTGTGTCAATTTCACAGCAATCGGTGAAGAACTATGGGAGATTACAGCGTGTGTTGCTCTTACGTCCAACAGGTGGCGCTATTTAAAAAAAAAAAACTTTTCCGGTCACAGGTGAGGGAGGCATGTATATAGTATGCATGAATAGGTATATAAAATCACGCGCCTATTCGAATGCAACGTTGTGTCAAAATCTCAAAGCAATCGGTCAAGAGGTTTCGAAGATTTCCCTTACATGAAAAATCCAGTTTTTCAAAAAAGCATGTTTTTTTTCCCATCACAGACATGACATTAATATAGTATGTATATAAAAACCCGCTCGGATGCGAATGGAACGTTGTGTGAAAATTTCAAAACAATCGGTGAAGAACTTTCGGAGATTAGCGATTTTGAACAAACGAACATTTACATTTTTATTTATATAGATAACAGAGGTCCCAGGACAGAGCCTTGAGGCACTCTCTTACAACATTTTCCCACTCTGACTTAACTCCATTTGTACTAGCTCTTTGTTTCCTTTGATATAACCATGCCCTAATTCAACTTAATATAGCACCCCCTATACTGTGAGCCTCTTTTATCTTTTTAATCAATCTTTCATGTGGGACTGTATCAAAAGTTTTGCTAAAGTCAAGGTACACATCGTTACAAGCCTTACCACTATCAAGTGCCTCAACTATGCTGGAATATAATGACAGCAAATTTGTTAAACATGAACAGCTGTTAGTAAAACCATGTTGTGAATCATTTATTAATCTATGTTTTCAAGATGAAGACGAATGGTATTTGCAATTATCGATTCGAGCAACCTTCCCTCATTAGACGTTAAGCTAATTTTGGTCGATAGTTTGATGCAAGTGATCTATCCCCTTTCTTTAAAACATACAAACAAAACACTCCACTTGTAACATTTTCCCACTCTGACTTAACTCCATTTATACGTTATAGCTGCAATAGGGTTACGGATGTAGCAATTGAAGCGATAATAAGGGGATGAATAAAATGAATAAGCGATGGTTAATAACTAGACATATGGCAAGAATAGGTTCCGAATTGGAAATGAGAAGAGAAATAACAGGATAAATTAAACAGAAATGAAAAATAAAAGCAGGGTAGGGTGTATACAGAGCAAGAATCGGAACCAGGGAGGAAGAGCATGTGTCTAGTGGTGTAAGCCAGTTCTATACGAGCAGCAGTATTGGGACCGGAGCAGCAACAGGAACACATGAGGTAGCATGTGCAGGAGCACGACTGTAAGAGCATCAACATTGTGAGGCACAAGCAGACACCAACCGCCAGCAGCCCAGCAGGAAAAAAGTGGCTCCACAGGTCTGTCACACCAACATGATGCCATATAAATATTTTCCAGCAATTTATCCTACATTTCGTCAAATTACAAATAAAAACATACAATTTAAAAGATTTATTTTATACACAGTAAATCAAAATTACAGAGGCGGGAGAAGGATGGAGCACACGTGGCAGATATATAATAATAAAGTCATGTAGAGTAGAAGCAACTGGTGCCTCCCTGCACGTGGGTAGCCACCACAACAGCTGACTGCCGCTCGCGCGCTGCCAACTTGCGTTTTTAACACTATACACACCTCAAACTCTCTCTCAACATAAAACTAGTTAATATTAAAGCAATTATCTACGCTGCGTATGCACGAGTTGTTGGCAAACCAGATTATCAGGTGCAACTTCTGCATCAAATACAAGAATCATCTGCAGCAGATTCCCTTTTGCCACTGAAAATGCATGAACCTGCCCCACCACAACCACCCTGCCTAAGGCTCCACTACCTGTACCACCTAAAACTATCTTTATCTATTAAACTAGTAAGTTTGTACCTGACCTAACCTGGCCTTACTTGACCACCTGACCTGGCCTGACCTTGCTTGATCACCTGACCTGGCCTTGCCTTGCTTGATCACCTGACCTGGCCTTGCCTTGCTTGATCACCTGACCTGGCCTGGCCTTGCTTGACCACCTGACCTGACCTGGCCTTGCTTGACCACCTGACCTGACCTGGCCTTGCTTGACCACCTGACCTGACCTGGCCTTGCTTGACCACCTGACCTGGCCTTGCTTGATCACCTGACCTGGCCTGGCCTTGCTTGACCACCTGACCTGGCCTGGCCTTGCTTGATCACCTGACCTGGCCTTGCTTGACCACCTGACCTGGCCTGGCCTTGCTTGACCACCTGACCTGGCCTGGCCTTGCTTGATCACCTGACCTGGCCTTGCTTGACCATCAGTCTACCTGTCGGTCCCTTCCCCAGAACATGTATACTGGATGGGGAAGGCAGACATAAGGATGTCCACACGCAAAATCTTTACCACTTTTCTTGGCCCTCGAGTGACCCCAAATACATGTTATGTCATGAGGACATGTTCATATTGGATTTGTAATTATTATTAACAATTGAAATCTGAACTTAAAAAATGCCAAAACTTAGGTGGTCAGAAAAGCAACCACCATTATTCATCTAAGATGGTGGAGGTATCAACTGTCAGGGGGGGGGGGCCTGACAGCTGAGTGGATAGCCCTTCGGATTCGTAGTCCTGAGGTTCCGGGTTCGATCCCCGATGGAGGCGGAAACAATTGGGTAGTTTCTTTCATCCTGATGCACCTGTTCACCTAGCAGTAAATAGGTACCTGGGCGTTAGACAGCTGCAGTGGGCCGCTTCCTGGGTATATGTAACGAAAAGGAGGCCTGGTCGAGGACCGGGCCGCGGGGACGCTAAGCCCCCGAAATCATCTGAAGATAACCTCAAGATAAGGTATAGATGTAAGGCTGAAGCGAGTTGACTGGTGTAGACACGATACTGAGCAGCCGCCAGACAGGTGGGCCGCCAAGCAGGCAGCGCTGCGGGAAGACAAGTTGTTAAGATGGTTTCGCGCCGGTCTCAAAATGGCGTGAGATTACCTATGGTAAGGCGGCTGTAGTGACTGTGTAGGTGATAGAATGGTGTATTTTTTGGAATGGGAGTGTTTTGTGTGCGCGCGCGTGCGTGGACGGTATTGGGAGGTTGGTTGGTAATATGCTGGGGAGCAGCCTTCACCGCACCTTCCCATCACAAACGGGGTGTGAATAGATTGAGCTACCTCATCCCTTTGTGTGTGAATTTATACCTCAAACTTATTTCAATCTCAATTCCCCATCACCAATAACCTTACACAAGTCTTCTTCGTCTGTATCATCTTAGTAGTAACAATATGATCAACATTTTATTACCGATAATAGTAGTGATGGAACAATCAACGAGTATTACCCACATGACCGCATTAATATGTACGTCCCCCTCACAAGAACATACGCAAACAAAAAAGTTACATTTAATTTCGCTCTAGTAGTAAATTAGCATACTTAACTGTATAGTCTAAAAATTCATAAAAGCAGGTTGAGAGAATAATTTTTTGCTAAATAGGCGAGGCGTGAAGGAGCATGGAGTGACGTGAGGTTGCTGGGTTGGTGGTGAGGGCCGCCAGGCGGATATGGCGGGCTGGGGGGAGGGGGAGGACAGAGATACACCACCCTAAAACTCGGCACACTCAAGGTCGTCACTCACCCACACATCTCGCAGTCAACACAAAAAGTGTAGAAATTAAACAAAATTATCAATTTATTTACACTATGAGGCGACAACTGAACAAGTTGATTTATGGTTTTTCTCTAATGAAAATGCAACTCCAAAAAGATGCATTTTCTAGCGCCTGACCGTTCGATGGGTGGACAGATACTGGACTGAACCGGACGCCCTCCCCATCCCTATCCCAGATATAGCTGTGGTCTCAACCCGGGGTATATTACACTTCCTTTTGATATTACTATGTAACAAATAATACTCCATCGGCATTGAATACATTTATTAAAAACAAACGTGTATATCTTACGAAGGTAACGTACTCTTCTAGATGTGCTTGCAAAGCAAGGTTCAGCTTGAGCTAATGAGCCCCACCTTTCCATTTACCGGTCAGCTAATGTAACACAGGAGGGTAGAAATAGCCTAAAATACTCTATCCCCATGAAATGTATTTTATTGTCTCTGTAAACGTACTTTAACTTGAAATGCAACGCTTTTTTTGTATTTTATTATATTTACCTATTAATCCGTGTACATAATTTTCTTTATGAACAGGATCCCCAACAATGGCAAGTTGCTCAGTCTCAATGCAGGTGGCCATATTTACTGCACTGGTCACAAACGAAGAGAGACAGGAAGGAATATCTCCAATCCTGTGAATAAATATTTGTGACCCTGTTATGCCTATACAATAGCTTATCCACTCGAGCCAGTTTCATAGCTTACACAATCTTTCTTCCTGACTTCCCCGTAGCTCATTTTCCTTTTGAACTCTAGGTTCATCAATGGTATCTGCCAGTCTAGCGTACTCACCTAATTGTGCTTGTGGAGGTTGAGCTTTGGTTCTTTGGTCCCGCCTCTCAACCGTCAATCAACTGATTTACAGATTCCTGAACCTACTGGGTTCTATCATATCTACATTTGAAACTATGTATGGAGTCAGCCTCTACCACATCACCTTGTGCATTCCATTTACTAACTACTCTGACACTGAAAACACAGCCGGCTGTGTTGAAGACTGTTGTTTGCGTGTCTGTATGTCAGGTTCTGGGCCATGTTAACGAATACGTAAATACAAAGTTTGAAAAGAGTCAACAAAATTTAGATTGTGAAAATGTATATTCACATGTCTGAATTTAGTTCCGGGAGCATTCGATTTACACGCAGCAGATTCACATTTATATCTAGCGAAGTTAACCTACTCTCCGAAACTTGCTTCGAAACTGTATCGCGTCTTTATATGGACTAGATCACTTGGCAAGATCACTGTGGCTGAAACCCTAAAAACATTCAGCCAGTGACTTTTCTAATGTACGTACACCCATTAAAGAGCAAGTTCTCAAATAATGCAAATAAAAATGTTTACTCATTCTTAGGTCTGGAATCAGTATTCCAAAACTAATCTGACAGGAAAATGTATATCCCTCATTCGGTTGGATAATTGTAAACCAAATGGACTAGAAGAATCCAGTGGAGATACCGTTATACTTGAGAAAATAGCATAAACCTTCCATTTAACATAAATCTAATTAGAAACTGAAGTTGTCCTCCCCAGCAAGAATCAAATTCTTGGCAATTGATTAAGAATTTAAGAAGAGAACTAAAACACAGTACTAGTAAGATTGATAGTTGATTTAAAATATAATTTGGAGGCGAGAGCGGGTCGTGAGTCATGAACCTGCAGCGACACGCTCACAAAGGCAGGCAGTTGTTTTTGTTTTTGATTTAGTTACTCAGAACGAAATGTCCATGTAGCACCGGCTATAGGGAGCCAGTAAACAAAGGCAGCATGGCGCCCTCATTAAATATTGAGCCCGTGAGCTAGGCTACTCATGCCTAACTAGCTTTATTATTCATGCACTGGCAAATGCCACCCCTCCATAATCGCAGACTCCCTCAAACAAAGACTTTACTACAAGAAATACATATTTACTATATACCAATTTTAGGCAGAGCTCTGCTTAATCAGTCATTGAGCCTAGGAAACAAAAATCAATACAAATACACAAATTTCTCCGCGAATATATGCGACCCTTTAGAACTTTTGCTATTTCTACATATAAATAGGAACTTAATTATTACTGTAATAAAGCCATCTGCTTCATACAGTACCATGATTAATTTTATTTTTATGAAAGTAATAAGGCCATGAAAATTACAATTATTAACTACTGAGCAGTGTAACTAAAGCTATATACGTATATATTGTGTAAAAGGACACATGGCGACGTGTCAGTCAAAGCAGGATTGCGTGGCGGCAACCCCTTTAATTATAGTACCCCGTGAACTTTATTGCTAGCCAACGGCTGCAGCCAGAGGCGCGTCGGCAATCACTAGCTAGTGAAACACGCCAACCACGACTTGGACCAACCCACCCCCTCCTTGGCACTGAAACCCTCCTTCCTCTCTCTTCCTGGCACCAACCTTCACGACCCATAGCAATGTTTAGTCGCTCATTGTTCTTCACTATCAAGTTCGGCCTCTAGCTTCATGCTCTAAATTATCACGCAATAATGCAGTTTCTTCTCATTCCTTCCCTTGTGCAGATTTTTTCTTTGTTCCACAAGGCATATATATATATATATATATATATATATATATATATATATATATATATATATATATATATATATATATATATATATATATATATATATATATATATATTAATATATCATCCCGAATGAGGGACATATACTTTCCTGTCAGATTAGTTTTGGAATAGTGATTCCAAACCTAAGAATGAGTAAACATTTTTATTTGTATTAATTGAGAACTTGCTCTTTAATGGGTGTACGTACATTAGAAAAGTTTCAATTCACAAGCTCTTACACAGAAAACATTATCAACTTCTGAATAATGTTGGAGCATGCACATGTTTCGATCACAGCTTTGCGTACAAACGTGAAATATACAAGGAAAGTCTTCACAAAAGAGAAAGTGTTTACAATACCAGTCACCCAGGTTGAAGACTTACTCGCGCGCGCGTTCACCCGCCAAGTCAAATTTCGGTTAGTGAATGAAAATGAAACGTTTATGTTTTTGTGTTAACATAAATTCAACTTGTGGCTCATACCTTTAATGATTAAAACACTACCCTCATATTAAGGCTATTAATACACAATGTATTTTTTTCTACGAGAAAGCACAAGCTTCTTGATGGGGTAAGTATATTAGGTGGAGCAAGGTCTTTATCTCCTTACTTCAAAAGTACAAGACTACAGGTGGCGGTGAGGTAGAATCAGCCAGGGCCAGTCTCCCTCTTGTGCTGGGAAAGGTATCCTGGACAAGGTGAGCCCCCGAGGCCAGTCTAGTACAGTACAACGAACCCACCACCACCATATTCGTCGACACGCTCTTTCTGATCCAGTTACCTCACACCACCTACAAACTACACATTTATATATTACAAAAACATTTATTGACGCTTTAGCTAAACAAAGTAAACATAGAGCATACTTATTATTTTGCATAAGCTAAAAGAACAAATGCTTCATGGTATCCTTGACGTGCATGTTAAAAATGAATCCATAAAACACACCATAGCCACCACACCTTGGGTTACACACACACTGGGGAGTACACATTAAAAAGAGCCGAGAGAGGAGAAGCAGGATTCCAGAGCACTCGCAGCTTTCACCCTACTTTAAATATAGAGAAGTGAAGTAACCCATCTTATGCTTTTAACTCACCTGTCATGCTTTATATATTGCCCTAAAGAATTACTGCTACCACTCCTCTCAAGCCATCATTAAATATTCGTATTTGAAAAAGGGTAGTATACCTGGAGTGGGATCTGGGTGATAACGTGGTCCAACAGGTTGTTGCTGGGAGCAGCCCACAGGCAATTATATTCCCTATAACCCAGTTGGTCCAGTGCTTTTGGCAGGAGTCGAATTTTCTCTCTAGACCATTTCTACTTTTGTACCGGCAATATTTCTGATGTCTGTTGGTAGGATACTGAATAGGCATGGAGCCTTTATGTTCATACAGTGTTTTCTTGTATCTATGGCACTTCTCTCCACTGGATCTAAACTGCATTTCCTGCCATACCTTTTGTATGTTATTTTACTGTGCAAATTTAGAGCCTTGTCTTCTTGTATCTTTCATGTTTAGAGTATATGATACCCCTCTCCTTTCCTTTCTAGAGGTTAAAGGTTGTCCCAATAGTTTAGGTGCTTTCTTGTGTCTGTGTGTACTGTATGTTCTCTGTATTCCGTCGATTTCAGAAATCTCTCCTGCTTGAAAGGGAAAGCGAGTTCCAAGGAGTATTCATGACGGGAGAGCACAAGTGATTTGAAAAGTAGTAGCATTGTGGTGGCATCCCTGGATTTGAACATTCTCATAATCAATCCAATCACTTTCCTGGTTAATGTTATATTCACTTCGTTATTCTCACTAAACGTTAGGAAATTTGACAACAATATTTCCATATTCTTTAAATGTTGTTTTTCTTCTATGATTATATCTGATTATGTCTTGTGTCCTGCATTTCATTTAAGTTCTTAATTTTTACCATACCTAATTATCTGGAAATTATCACTGTTTTAGATTGTTGTTTTAGATTCAGCCACTCAGAATAAAAAGTTCCAAGCAGCACGGGCTATGGTGAGCCCATCGTACTTACCTGGCACAGATGTGCTCAATTTATCACTGGTAATCATTATGTTATTTTCAGTTGCCAAATCGAAGACCATTGAAAACAGTTTGTATCTGCTTGATATCTGCTTGATGGGGTTCTGGGAGTTCTTCTACTCCCCAAGCCCGGCCCGAGGCCAGGGTTAACTTGTGAGAGTTTGGTCCACCAGACTGTTGCTTGGAGTGGCCCGCAGGCCCACATACCCACCACGGCCCAGCTGATCTGGAACTTCTCTTAGAAAACAGTCCAGTTTTCTCTTGAAGATATAGACAGTTGTTCCGGCAATATTTTTTATAGTCGCTGGGAGCTTTGTAGTTTTTCAATGTTGTCTACCAGAGTAATCCTAATGCTGTTTTTTGTATCTTCCGCAAAGGATGACACAAAGCTTTGACTTGTAATTTTGTCTATATCTGATACAAGAATGAGAAAAAGCAGTGGTGCAAGGACTGTGTCCTGGAGTACAGAGCATTTCATATTTATCAAATGCCTTTCGAAAATAGTGTATACAACATCTGCATTTTCTTTTTCTTTTAATGCTTCGGTGACCAGAGGTTAAATAATTGAAAAAAAAAACATAATCCCACTCTAAATCCATTCTATGTTGACCAGGGTTGTGAAGTTCATTGGTCTCCATAAAGCTGGAGATTTCATCCTGATCAATATTAATATATATATATATATATATATATATATATATATATATATATATATATATATACATATATATATATATACATATATACATATATACATATATATATATATATATATATATATATATATGTATATATGTATATATATATATATATATATATATATATATATATATATATATATATATATATATATGTATATACTGTATATATATGTATATATATATATATATGTGTACATATATATATATGTGTACATATATATGTGTACATATATATATATATATGTGTACATATATATATGTACATATATATATATGTGTACATATATATATGTACATATATATATATGTGTACATATATATATATATATATATATATATATA